GAACAAAATACACCTGAGGTTGATTTATAATAACCTGAAGTGTAAAATGACACACCTTAGGTTGTTGAATAAATACTTCCACAAGTGTAAAAAAATATACTTCAGGCTGAAACATATATACCTCTGGAGGTATATTTAAGGTATATTTGAGGTTGATTTTGAGGTATTCATTTGCACCCTTTTCAACCTTTACGACGTATTTAAACAACAACCTCCTTTATACCTTTAAAATATACCTCGTTTATACCCCATTTATACCTCGATTTTTTCATAAGGCGTCGCCAATAGCCCATTGTGCAACTCTAGTGCTACGTAAATTAACAACAACAACAACTATGTTCAAAAACGTTAGGAAAACTGTAGAAAAAATAGTGACAGTGATAATTTTAATTATTAGTTGTCTTTCTTCATAACTATTTTTTTCTTTATGAATGGTTGTCCCGCAGTGGACTGACGTTAAGACACGGTTCCCAGCAAATCACCGAAGTCAATCATTACTGGCTGTGGTCAGTGTGCGGGTGGGTGACCACTTGGATCAGTCTGCTTAGGGACCGAGAGTGTGCGATATTGGTCCTCGTTAAGCAGTTCTACCATAAAATGCTCGACTTCGCGAGCAGGTCATCGGGCTCGAAGAGGGAGTGCCATTCCCTCTCCAGAGGATCAAAATTGTGATGACATGTCTTCGGATCATCCTCAGGGATGTTTCCCAGACAGTTGCCAATAACCCATTGTGATGCTCTAGTGCGACGTAAATGAACTACTACAACAACAACAACATTTATGAATGGTTGAATAGAAAACTTCCGGTGTATCCCTCCGCTTATGTTATGCCTACGAGGTGATGTGTGAGCAGGCTTAATATTTTAGGAAATTTTATTATTGTGGTTTGCGTTTTAATTTACGCGCAATTTTACCATTCATAAGAGTTTCTTGTAATTTAAGAACTCTAACAGGTCGTTAGTCTAAAGTAAATTTATCAAAATTAATATCGCAGCATAAATAAAGTGTAAAGTTAGCCATGTTTTAAAAGTTATCCCTTATTTGTCTATTGATGATCGAAATGGACTGCAGGTAGCGTAGAGCAAAACTCGTTACCTATGGCAACACATCGCATACTTTCACTATTAACGTGTGGAGAGTCATAGAGGAAGGAAGTACGTCAGTTTCTTTCTTGATTTTCATATGGATTAAAATCTTTTAAGTTAGAAAACCATATGGAACTGAAAACTGCATTAAGCAAAGTTCTAAAGAAAAGTATCACGGTAATTTTAAGAAATATTTTTACTAAATAAAATGGAAAAATATTAAGAAAAGGGAAAATATCGTAGTACATTCCTATAAAACTGAAAAGAGGCAAGAGAGAAGGGCCAAAGATATGAAACCGGTCTTTCTCCAGATGGCGTATTTGAACGTTGCGATTGCCAATATTTGTTTAAAACAACACCTTTTGTTATTTTTCGGTAGAAAGCTTGCGGAGTCCTCCAACTTCATTTGTTGTTTGTTTTGTGGAAAATTAGATTGAAAGAGCGAGTTAGAACTCTCCATGTAATGAAAAGAAAAAAAATGTTAAGTCTAATTTTTTTTCTTTCGGTAATAGTATAAAATTAGTAAAAATTAGAGCAGCTATTTGAAGTTAAATGAATTTTTAATAAGAAATTATGACAAGTTTTGTTTCTTCAAACGACATTAATTAATGAATAAATTATGAATAGAGTATGTGTTTTGATTACTCAATCAAAATTATACTAAATATTAATTTAAAATTTCTATACAGTTAAAAAATTTGGTAGTTTCTACTCATCAACAACTATTTTGGTTAATAGTATGGTTCATTTCATTTTAAAGAATAAAGTCAGGAGACAATTAAAAAAACAATTTTCGTAGCGAAAATATTATTTTTATAGACAAGAAGGAAGGAACTATGAACTGGCATATATCACTTTCAAAACATTTGCATCCGGACGGTTGATTTTTTCTCTCGTCTGTTTTGGATTATACAGCATGGAGATTCATCTATGGCCGTCCAACAGTGCGCGGCATGCATTGCCATCTTCAACATTATTTTTCTATGTTACGGGCTAGAAATTTTTTTTTGAAGCGTAACTGAAAGGTGACGAAATAAAACCAGGAAATCATTACATATTTTAGTCTTTCATCTCAGAGCTGTGGTAGCCCAACGCCGTTGGAGAATCGACCTCCTGTCTGGAGGTATCGATGGTCGATCCTTCACTTCTCTATCACTCACCGAATATATGCGATATACTTACTCGCAAGCTCTGTGGAATCGAAATTCCTGTGGTCGGTCGTTGAGCAATTCCATGGGTACAGGGATCTAGAGAAAATCCCTCCCCCCCACTTCAGATTTATGTCTACCTTGAGGAAGCGGCCTCACAAGTGTGATCCCCTCTTCGGAGAATCAAAATTGTGATAGCGTGTCTTCGGATCATCCTGAGGGATGTTTCCCAGATCGTCGCCAATATCTTATTGGGCAAGTCTACTGCGACGTAACTAAAGTACCTACCTGCTACCTCTAATTTCACTTAAAAAGTGACAAAAACTTTCAAATCAGACTTTTAGACCAGAAAACTCTCTTAAAGAACTGTTCGCACTTACAAATGGTGTGAACTGTTGCACTAGACGTGCGTGCGAATTTTTGTATAAATGTTTGTTTTGTATGAGCTACTCGCATTTACGTGAGTTCGCATATGTGATTTGTTTGCTTGCTGCGTTAATTTTGTTATTTTATTGAGTGCGTAATTTTAAAGTATTGTTATTTTTTTTAAAAGTTTGGTATAGTGTTGTTGTTTCGAGTTTTTGTGACTTTAAACTCTGCTTTTATTGGATCAATTTTTGAATTAAAATCGAATCTAATAAAACTTATTTGAACACATCAGTGACAATTTTCTCCGTGTATATTAAAAGTTAGAATAATATGGAGTATTAAGGGCTAACTTTCCTTTTAAATTAAACAAAATTTAAAATCCATTCATATTTTTTAATAAAAACTAACGATATGTTTTTCTTTTAGTTTTTTGTAAAGTATACTTCAAAATGCTACTTTACTAATCTAGAAAGGATACTACACGAACAGATTTGAATATATCAGAATGCATCAATCAATAGTCCATAATTTAAAAAGCGAAATTAAGGAAATGATTGCTCTTAATTAAACGAATCAAAGACAGCAACTGAAAGTGGATTAAAAGGCATCGGTTTAAATTAGAGTAATACACGGTTTCATCGTGAATAATTTTTAGGTGACATTAACCTTCTGAGAAAAGTTGTTAAAAGTTTAATAGCTGTTGCGATGTTCCATCCTTTGCAAGAGAAAAAAAAAATAAAAAAAAAAATAAAAAATCAAAAAAAAAAAANAAAAAAAAAAAAAAAAAAAAAAAAAAAAAAAAAAAAAAAAAAAAAAAAAAAAAAAAAAAAATCCACATAACTTCTAAATTTAAGAACTTTCGTCACTGGATACAGTATAAAAAATTTAATTGGAAACAATGCCTCACATGTCTAGATAGCAGAGTGTAATTTTGCTTTACCCACCATTTATCTTCTTTCTTTCCTTTCCGCTAAAATTCAAAACGTGAGGTTGTGCAAATTTTTATCGCTAACTATGAGGAAGGTACGTAACAGTTCCCCGTATATTTAAACCTCTTTTTTAAGTTCAAATTTAGAGCTATCTTTGCAGTGCAATCCAATATTTAAGGAAAATCTATAGGAGAAGTAAGTCTTCAAATTTTCAATAGATAATAGCATTTTTATTGCATACATGTTTTTAAACTACATCTCTTATATTTTTTTTTATTAGTATACAATGTCATTTTGCTTCAGTTTCATGAATAAAAGTAAGGAAAATTGTAACAGAGCTCAAGCTGTTTGAGAGAGATGTCTATTTACTTATTTTCAGTTTTCCACAGTATAGAACATAGACACAATATTTTTCTTTAATTGCCCTGCTGATTAGGATCATGGGATTTTCTTAGCAAATTTAATTAAAAATTCATTTTGTTCTGAATTTCCAATTCATAAAGTTGGAGCCAGCAATTCAAAAGTAGATTTTCGTGTAACTTGGACAGCCATTAAATTATATATGATTAGAATTTGTTTCAAGGCACGTCTCTTGGATTATTCCTATTAAATCTATTGAAAAATTTCAGTTAACTTTTGATTCCATCTCGAAAAATAAATCATATCAAATTTCTAAACTTCAGTTTGCAAGTAAGATATTTTTTAAAGGAAGACCTTGTGAATTGCGGTAGTTTGCATTAGTGATGTGGAAAGAGACCTTCTTCGAATCTCTATTTCCTCAATTTGAATTAGCGATGATGAAAGAGTTCTTCAAATCTCTTCATGTTAGTTTTCATTTAGAATTTAGTCTTTACTTGCTCAGTTTTCGCTAGCAACAGGAAAAGAATCCTTTTTCAAATCTTCAATTGCTTAGTTTACATTAGTGATATAGAAAGTATTCTTCGAATCTCTATTTGCTCAATTTGAATTAGCGATGTTGAAAGAGTTCTTCAAATCTCGTCATGTTAGTTTTCATTAAGAATTTAGTCTTTTCTTGCTCAGTTTTCGTTAGCGATAGGAAAAGAATCGTTTTTCAAATCTTTAATTGCTTAGTTTGCAATAGTGAGATGGAAACTGCTCTTCAACTAATCTCAACTTCCTCAGCTTATATTAGTGATATAGGAAAGAAAGAATCATTCAAATCTCCACTTATTTTGAATTAAAGATATGGAAAGAGTAATTCAAATCTCTACTAGCTTAGTTTGCTTCTTTTCAAATCTCTGCTTGTTATCTTCTGGGAATTGAGAAAAATCTCTCGCATTATTGTCATGAACAGTTAATCGAATTCTTTCAAACAGAAGAAATCAACACAATTTTTTTTAAATTATCGTTTGGTAAATTTTTAAAGTTTTTTTTGAAAAGTATTTATTCCTCAACATATAATCGAACAGGCATTTAAAAACAATTCTAAAATTAGATTGCAACAATTTTACGAAATTAAAACTCAATGCAAATTTCGTCAAAATTGGTTACAAACTATTAAGATAGATTCCAATCGCGTAAAAATTCTGGTCGCCAATTAAATTTATTTTAGGTTAATCTTATTTTTCTTGCTCACTGTACACTTAGGTAAATTTGTCCATGTACCGCCTTGTAAACAACGAAGATAAATTTTCTCTGGTGCTTTTTGTTTCGTTTTGCATTTCAAAAGGCATTTTTCCCCAGCAGTTTTATTAAAGCAAACTTCTTCTCGAAACTTCAAGTTTTTATTTAAAACAGGCAAAGGACAGGTGCATTGAGGAAACTTAGACCATTTTAGGCTTGAATAGCACTCAATAAAACTTCTCTTCATCAATTCACCACCATGTTTACACAGCAACTCGCATCTCTCTTTCACACTTTTAAGAGAACAATTCTCGTTGAACAATAAATGACTAGGAAGGTTAGGTTTGGGACAGAATTTCTTATGGCACTTTGATTCAATATTCCATCTGTTATCGTTTCGACAAAGAACGAAACTTTTCCCTTCAAGCTTCAAACTTTCATGGCACTTAATTCGACACTTTTCCCCAGGAATCTTAAACGTGCAGTTCTCAATAGACAACATACCTTGTCTTAGTTTAGGACTAGGGCAGGTGCAAAAAGGAAATGATGTCCATTTTAAATCCCTAAGGCATCTAATGAAATCGTTGCCAACCGATATTCCACCCATTTTGCATACAACTTTGCAAACATCACCAGGTTTTTTAGAATTACAATCATCGTCGAGTGAAATATAATTAGGAAGTACTGGCTTAGGACAATTTTTAAGCTTACAAGAGGGAAAAATACCCCAACGGAAATCCTTACCACATCTTATGGATGAGTGGTACAGATTGAGGGATTTTTCTTTACAAGTTACTCTACAAATTTCTCCTGGTTGTTTCAACGAACAGTCCTCTAAGAGATGTAAGTTGTTTGGAAAAACGGGTGAAGGACAGGAGCAGTTTGGAAAGGCTGACCAGTGCTTGAATGTCAAACAAGAAATCGTATTATTTGGAATTGTTTTACCGCCGTGACGACATTCAAATGCACAAGAATCACCGATATTTTTATTTGAGCAATCTTCTTGAAACAACAATTCCTTAGGTGGATTCGGCCGAAAACAAAACAAATTGCGGCATTTTGGTAGGGAAGTCCATTTTGTGTTATTTTGACACGTAATGTAATTAATTCCAATTATAGCTGCATTTCCAATGCAAGCTAAGGAGCATGTTTCACCTCGTTTTTTATAATCACAATTTTCAACTGATTTCAATCCATTTGAGAGAGCCGGAGGTGGGCACGTACAACTTGGAAAAGGTGACCAGCTAAATAGGTTGTTTGCTTTCAGGCAAATCAGGGTATTTGATCCAATGAAAGTACCTCCTTCTTTGCATTCTAAATGACATTTCTGTCCAATGAGTTTTGAGGAACAGTCATCATAAAAGTCTAAATAGTTGGGAAGGTCTGGTACTGGGCACATGATATTTTTGCATACTGGTGTGGAAGTCCATCGAGTATTGGTCTGACAAACAATATCGCTTTTACCTGTGAGATGAAAAGGCTTTCTACATTTCAATCGGCATCTCTCTCCTATTCTGATATCATTACAGTTCGCATCTGCTTCCATGTTATCAGGTAAATCAGGAGAAGGGCAAGAACAGTTTGGCATACTTGTCCAGAGAACGCCGTTTATACACTTTATGTATCTAGAGCCATGAAGTTTACCACCTTCTTTGCATTCCACTTGGCATGTTTTGCCAGGAATTATACCTGAGCAATCTCCTACGTATGATAACGTTTTTGGAAGCTTCATCTTAGTGCAAGTCTTTCTCTTACAAGTAGGAAAGAGACCCCAGTTATAAGTGAGATTTTGGCAATAGATGTAATCGATGTCTTGAGCGAATTTTTTTTTGTCACACGCTAATGAGCAACGTTCCCCTGGATGTTTATCAGAACAATTCTCTTTTAACGATAAATTATCAGGTAACATTGGAGGTGGACAAGCGCACTTTGGGAAAGATGACCATCTTAAAGATTCCAAGCAAGTTATTTTATTCGGTCCCAATATTCTACCACTATAACCGCATTCTACAGAACAATGCTCTCCAGGTGATTTTGATATGCAATGCTCACTTAAAAAAACTGTTGATGGAACAACTGGTTTTGAGCAAAAAACTTTTTTACATCTAGGCAAATTGGTCCATGTCATATCCGCTCGACACGTAATTAGAGGATTTCCCACCAATAAAGCATGACCTTTGCAAGAGAGAGTGCAATTTCCGCTTGGAACGACATGAATGCAATTGGTTTTGAATACTAATTCTTCGGTAATTATTGGAGGAGGACAAGCACAGATTGGTAAGATTGACCAATGCAAGCCATCCAAGCATTTTATCTTATTTGCTTTAGGAAATGTACCGTTCTCTCGACATTCTAGAAAACAATATTCACCTGACGATTTCGAACTACAGTCTTCCTTAAAAACAAGAGACTTGCTCAATTTTGGTTTTGGACACATTATTTTGCTGCAAAAAGGAAGAGAGGTCCACTTCAATCCATTTAGACATTTTATAAATGCATTTTTCTTTAAAATATATCCTATTTTGCACTTTAAATTGCAATATTCGCCAGGGTATTTAGAAAGACAGCTTTCATTTGCTAAAATAGGCCCTTTTAGGTGGGGTGGAGGGCAAGAGCAATTAGGAAATCTATTCCATCCTTCTATGTTTCGGCATATTAGAGTAAATTGAAGTTGTTTATGATGTTTACAGCGTATCGCACATTTAGAACCTATTTCAACACCATTACATTTACTTGTAAATTCTAAATGTTTCGGTAACTTGGGTTCTGAACAATAATTTTTTCCTCCCACACAGGGTTCAACCCTGCTCCACAAACCTGGCGGAAGACACGTGGTTGCATTTGGACCAATGATTTTAGCCCTTGAGTCACGACACATTAAATTACAACTAACCCCTCCATCACGGTTACAGATTCCGATTATTTTCAAGTTTCCTGGAATAGAAGGTGGGAACTCACACTGTATTTTTAACAGTTTAAATGGTGAGTGCTTCTGTGGAAAACATCTTGGAATATTTCGCCACTGACCTTTCCGGCAAACGATGAAATGTAAACCAACCAGAACAAATCGTGCGGTGCATTTCACTTGGCATATTTCTCCACTTTTGAAAGTACACTTATCCACAAATTTTAAGTACGGCGGCAAAAATTTCGGAAGGCAGTCTGATGTTTTATTATAACTTTTAGATAAACATAAAGGAAGGTACATCCATTTTGATGAATAGGAACAGTAGACTGTTTTACTTCCTCTTGGTATTCCACTCAGACATTGAACTCGGCAAAATAAACCAGCTGTCTTTCGACAATTGCAAACAAATTTTAAATGTCCAGGTAAGCTTTGGCATTTTTTAATTACAGAGCAGCGAATTTCACTGATCCACTTCTTTTTTAAACAGCGCAGGATGAACAAGCCATTAGGTTCATAGCCCTCTTTGCATTTCAACAAACATATCGATCCTTCCCTAGTTAAACAACCATTCTGAAGAATGGCATTTCTGTCAAATTCAGGGTCAGAGCAATAGGAGCTGTCAATACGTTTATTCCAGAAATGGAGCTTTGCAGTTTGGCAGTCGGGTAGATTTTCCCAGTGACCAGCAGGCCCACAATAGGCTTCTTTAATAAAAACAACTTGTTTAGAATAAGATTCATTTTTTGGTTCATATTCGTATACTTGACAACCAACTCTGCAAGATATGCTTTGCGAGGTTTTACAAGTAGTGTTTATGAATAGTATATCGGATGGAAGCGGCTCTGATGCACATTGGAATCGCGCGTGGCACGAAGGTAATGGTGACCATTCACCAGAAGGAAGACATATTGCTTCTTGTGGCACAAAATTTCCATCTGGACACTGAATCTAAAAAATGATATGAGTTATACATAAAGTATTAGTTATTCATATTACAAAAGTGAAGAATTGTAATGAATAATTATTGTTTTAAAATTTTATGGCATAAATTTTCTTAATCCCATTATTCCGTTTGTTGTCTGTATTTCGAAAAATGAACTGCATACTTCATTACAAATGAATTGCTGAATTATCTTGAAGGACCTTAAGGGGAAATTCAAATTCAACCAATGAATGTTTCATTAAACTATTAAAAGATTAAACAGAAGCATGATATAAAACTTTATTTTTTCACACAACCATAGCGATGGTAAATGACATTTTTTAAGCATTCAAAAATAGGCGCCCATTTTCAAGACTCGGGCTGATGTGAATGAGGAAATCAAAAGTAATTTGAAAAGAAAACGTGAAGTTGTTAATGAAATCGAAAATAAAGATAAAAAATAAAATTAGAGAAACAGCAAGGTGAAAAGGCGAAAGTCAAAAAGCAGGGCAAAATGCATTTCCACATATCCACTCAAGATCAATTCTGTTTTTCTAGTTTTGTTTTTTCCACTTTATTTTTTATTTTCTATTTTACTGTCGGATACCACTGCTTCCCTAGTTTTGTTTTTCATCTTTATTCTCGTTTTTGTTGGCAACTTAAAGTTTTCTGTTTCAAATTCTTTTTGCTTTCCTCATTCACGTCTGGCTAGTCTTGAAATTGGGCACCTATATTTGAGTGCCGTAAACATGTTGACATTTATTACCATCTTCATATTTTTTAAAGCAAATTAAGTTTTATTTGATCAAAAATGTATATTTTTATTTCAACTTAAGGAAAATTGTCTTTCTTTTTCAAATTATATTTGTAAGTAGAGTGATGCGCTGCATAAAATAAAGGATGTTTCATAATGACTGCCCTAAATATGTATCACGGGAAAAAAAACTATGTGCATTAGGGTTTGTAAAATGATATTTAAGTGTAAAGGAGCAACAGCATTTTAAATCTAAAAATAATCTTAAATTACTGAATACTGAAGCTTAGAGGTTCTATTTCTAGCGGAAGCAGATGAATTCCTGTCACACTGAACAAAATGGTTTTTTGATCAGATTGATATAAACCTTTTTTATTACGTTTAAAAATATCAAGCAATAATGGATGTCGGTTTCGGTTTTTAATATAAAAACAATGAAATACATTGATAAAATCAAAAATGCAGGACCAAAACCTATTTTTAGTTCCTTTTAAAGTTTCTAAAAACAAATAGTTTCATACCGGGTGTTTTAAAGCTGAACGATAATTAGAAAAGTCAATTAGAGAAAATGAAAAACGATAATATTGTGTTGCTGGAACTATATATTTTCCTTAACAAGTTTCAAAATTAGTCACTAAGTTCTTTAATAGGTGGCGCTGGTAGATAAAACCCCCATAAAACAATGTTTAAAATAACCATTATTTGCAACAACAACGTGGCGTAGTTTAAGGATAAAATTAACTCATGTCTGTGAAAACATTTTCTTTGAAATAGGGAAACACGAAGAAGAAATCGTTAAGTTTTAGTTTCAAGTTGAAACAATTTATAATTGAAACATTTTATAATAGAAACTTTCCATCTCTTTAGGTAAGGGAGCGAATTTAAATTGATCGACTCTTACTTTTCTATACCATCTACGTAAACATAATCAGCGTACCTAATACAAAGTTACATTCAAGAAAAAAAAAATTAATACAAGCTAATTAGTTTAGCTTTTGTAGAAACTCCAAAATACTATACCTATTTATAGATTGAATAAGTAAATATTTTTTTGCTTACGAACCTTGCATGAAGTGTCTTTTTCTCTTGAGCAATTAATCAGTTTAGCGAATTTCAACTCGGGACATTTCAATAGTTTTGGTGGAATGCACTGGGGATACATGCTTCCCTCTTCTAAACAAAACAGAGTCATAGTGCTGGTGCCACAAGTGACTGTGCAATCCTCTGAAATTTCTGTGCAATTTCCAAATTTTACAAACAAGTCTAAAGCTGTCTGGCAAAGTGACTTTGAACTGGAAGTGGAAGCCGATATCGCCATTTTGATTCGAATGCAAGTGGATAAATCTTCGATACTCTCTGGTAGGTGACTGCATTTTATAAGTTCTATAATTGGCGATCTTGTTCGTGGTACACAGCTTGGAGGGTTTTCCCATTGTCCATTTTTCAAACAGCGAATGTAAGACTTCCATAACTCCAAACCATTTATTCTGCACGTGACTTCACAGATACCATCAGAATGTATGCCACACGTTCTGCCAATAATAATATCCTTCGGCAAGGTGGGTGGTTGGCACATCAGGCCCACAATTTTGGCTAAAAATTAAAAACAAAACTGTATTGACATATCTTGACACCATAACTGCAACAACGTTAACAATGACTCAGGAAATTGATCGCTAATCTTCCAATATGGGGACTCAGGTTGAATAGTTCTCAAAAAACAAAAAATTTTTATGTACGAATTTTATGAAGCTCTATCCATTAGAAACGACATAGTCGATTTCAATTAAATTTCATATTTGATCATTTAAAATAATATAGTTCAAAAGTATTTAATAATTTGTGTATTTTACAATTCAAAAAATAACAATAAATTGAATGATAAAATGTATAAACATTGGGTTGGATAAGCGAGTTATGTAATTATGTATAAAATCTTTAAAAATTGCTTAAATTGTTGATGAGAATATGAATACTCATGCAAGATCCGTTAAATGTAAACTTAAAAATAAAGGGCCCAAACTTTCAACTGCTCTTTTAATATCATTTTTATTAGATTGCTGTTATCCCCCAAATTTTGATAATTAAAAATCCGAATCCGCCGAACAATTTGGGTATTTTTTTTCTTCAGAAAATGCACTTTGTCTGATTTACAATCTAAAAATATCGTTTGATCTCATTAATATAATTATTTAAGAATTCCTCATTTCGGTATTGAGAAGTGTAATTCTTAGATCAAAAATCATCCAGGGATTTGGCTTTTTCATTTTGGTCAATTTTATTTAATCACAGTGGGAAAAATCAAGTAAAAAAGATAGTATCAAGATCACTTCACAGTCTTTTGCGGTATTTTTTTTTTTGGGGGGGGGGGGGAATTNTTTTTTTTTTTGGGGGGGGGGGGAGAAGTGCAATTTTTTTCACACACTTAACATTGATGCTGGTGGGTATAAAGAAAAAACAAAGGCATTGAGCTTTACTGGTTCGGTCACACATTATCGTGCAATTTGTCCTACTTTTTGTGTGTTGAATTTGATTCCATAAATAACATTAAAGTTTAAGAATCGTCAAAGAATGGGATAAATGGCAATTAAAGTACAATATTAATAATTTTTATAAATAATGTTACCATGATTAACACTTTATGTATCTACGATACATTTAACTGGTAATTTACAAGAAAATCAAAACATTTATTAAAAACAAGTTTTTAAAAATACTCACGTAAATTAATCAGGATGAAAAGCGTAAGAAGCCTCACATGTTTGAAAGGAACAAGCTAAAAAAGAAAATTAGTTATTTTTTTAATTAACCAATGAAAAAACTATTAATTATGCTATTATTTATGGTTTAAATTCAACACTTTCAAATATTAGGTATACTAGTAAGATTTTGAACTGAGCTCGTCTTTTTTCCTTGACGAGCAGGTAATTTAAAAATTACTTGTGTCCACTATGCTCGCTACACTCGTCGATCCCCGAAATCTCTTTCGAAATTTCCTTCGGATTGATTTACAATTCGAGTTAGCTTCTCTTACTTACTTATCTTAGTTAAATGCTTATGTGCTTAACTTTATATGTGTCCTGGTTCTCTTTTTGAAGTTAAGTTAAATAAAATCTTCAACATTTAATTTATAAACGTATTTCATTCAATATTGTGATTCCCATTGAGTAGTTTTAATTTAGTGACCATAATTTGGTTTTGGTTCCTTCCAAAATAGTTAAAAATAGTATTGTTTATGTATATAATATATTTTTAAATAACTTAAAAATGACCAATTGTATATTGATCGCTCTTTTGGCGAAAAATCAGTGTAATTACATACATAACACATGATAATTATACAAAAACGTTTTAACTCATAAGATTCTAGCTACAAAAGCAATTTGTATTTAAAAATCAACGTATTTAGCGAATAAACAGTTCTTATTAGTTTAACATAAGTCATACGTACTTTTTCATTTAATAATTTGCATAATTGTCCATAATCCTGTTTCAAATGACGCATTGTACGAAAACTTATCGGTAAAATTTCTGTGAGTTTTGTTTACCATGTTTAGACTACCAATAAAAAAACTAAATAAAGAGCTTATTTCTTAAATTTACAGTTTTGATAAAAAGTGTGCATGTTTATGTTAGCCTATTTTTGGAAAACTGAACTAAATAGGATGGCTATGACAAAAGCTTTAAAGCCTATAAGACGCATGTTATATAGCTGATGAGCAGATTAATTAGGACGTTAAAAAGTATATATCTATATATATAAAAATCTCTTGTCACAGTTTTAGTGGTTAAACTCCTCCTAAACGGCTCGAGCGATTTTGATGAAGCTTTATATGTATATTCAGTAGGTCTGAGAATAGGTTTATAACTAATTTTTTTTTCATTTTTTGGACAGATTTAACGTATATTTTAAATATATCTTTATTTAATTATATTCCAATCCAAACTAGACATTGAAACATGATAAATCAAATACAATATTCACGCACGTTGCAACAAGTCATATTGAACTCTAATACTTATGCTCGCCCTTAAAAGAAGAACATCAAATATATTTGCAAGTATGTGAATAAAGGCAGTGATATGGCAGTATTTCGAGTTGAAAATACCAATGTGACCGCTTTTCCAGTGAATAACAACGACGAAATAACGCTCTACCAAATTGGCCGGTACATCAGCTCCAATGAAGCTGTTTGTCGCAACTTTGGATTCCCTATTCATGATCCTACCGTTAGTCATTTAGCCGTCCATCTTGAAAACGGTCAGCGCGTATATTTCACGAACGAGACAGCGATTGACAGAGCTATAAATCCACCAAGAACTACACTCACCGAATTTTTTTGAATTGTGTAATCGTGCGGATGCGTTTGATGCCTTTGCACAGACATTACTCTGTTCAGAAGTACCACACTATTTCACATGGGCTCAAACAAAAAGAAATGGACTTCCCGCAAGCAAGGCACACCGATGAAGGCCGTTGTCCCGGTTTATTCAAATCAAACGCCTTGGGGAGAGCATTTACAGTCAATCCAAGGCAGACTTAGTGCTTTTATCTTCGAATGTTGTTGGTTAATGTCACCGGCTCATTGTCATTTCAAGATATACGTAAAGTCGATGGACATCAGCATCCAACGTATAAAGATGCAT